TTCTTGATGTAATATCTGTTACACTGCTGATGTAGTCTTGTTATTATTATGTCAAATAACTATAGTTCTATTACTATCAGATATTTGATATATTCTTGATGTAATATCTGTTACACTGCTGATGTAGTCTTGTTATTATTATGTCAAATAACTATAGCTCTATTACTATTGGATATTTGATATATTCTTGATGTGATGTCTGTTACACTCCTGATGTAGTCTTGTTATTATTGTGTTAAATAACTATAGCTCTAGTACTATCGGATATTTGATATATTCTTGATGTGACGTCTGTTACACTCCTGATGTAGTCTTGTTATTATAGTGTTTTAAATAACTATAGCTTTATTACTATCAGTTTGTCATCCTGGTTGTTTTCACTGCACATCAGACTACTGTGTATCTTGATAAAGTGTTTTTAAAAATAAGTTTAAATACTTGGTTTTATTGTTGTAGTTTATACATTTTATTATCTTTTCAATCAGCAACAATAGAATTCTTAGTTAAGTTATACTGACTAATTTTTCTTCAAGTGTACACAGGAATATGTTGAAACTGGTTTCTATGTACAGGTTTTTTAATAGCATATAGTTGAAGTGTTTCTACTTTAGAAAAACAAAGTTATTAAAAACACAAGAGAAGTAACTGATCCAACAACTGGTAGAGAAGTAACATAGTTCACTGCATGCAAATGAAAAAGAAAGGCACATTTGAAACAAACTGTATTGTTGCTTTAGACAAAATTCAGAAGTAACCTATCTAATATCAGACATGTGCCTTTCTTTTTCATTTGCATGCAGTGAACTATGTTACTTCTCTACCAATTGTTCCTGTGTCATCCAGTTGTTGGATCAGTTAATTCTACCAATTGTTCCCGTGTCATCCAGTTGTTGGATCAGTTAATTCTACCAATTGTTCCCGTGTCATCCAGTTGTTGGATCAGTTACTTCTCTACCGATTGTTTCCGTGTCATCCAGTTACTTCTCTACCAATTGTTCCTGTGTCATCTAGTTGTTGTATCAGTTACTTCTACCGATTGTTGCAGTGTTGTCCAGTTGTTGGATCAGTTAATTCTACCGATTGTTGCAGTGTCGTTCAGTTGTTGGATCAGTTACATCTCTACCGATTGTTCCTGTGTCATCCAGGTGTTGGATCAGTTACTTCTCTACCGATTGTTCCTGTGTCATCCAGGTGTTGGATCAGTTACTTTCAAAATTATAAAATAGTTAAATAACTCAACTGTATTAACAAAATTCTATCTGACATAAAAAATAATTCATAAGGTCCAACTCTCAAATGAAAGTATTATAAAACTGTCATTAACATAAAGAATACACATTTGGATCTCTTTGTTCATAGCTGTTGATGTTTTCTTCAAGTTGAAGTAACTGATCCAACATCTGAATGACACGAGAACAATCAGTAGGGAAGTAACTAGTCCATCAACTCAATGAAACGGGAACAACTGGTAGAGAAGTAATTGATCCAACACCTGGATGACACGGGAACAATCGGTAGAGAAGTAACTGATCCAACAACTGGACGACACAGCAACAATCGGTAGAGAAATAACTGATCCAACACCTGGATGACACCACAGAGTTAAGTTTAGAAAGTTTCAATGAGGAAGAACTGTGAATGTTTTTTGTGGTATAATTATACCAGAAATATTCTTTACTATCTAGATGAGAACCCATAATCACAGTTAAGGGTTGAGTTGTTAGCTAGCTACCTTTCTTTTAGTTTGTACTCAAATCTGAAACAAACAATTCATGATAGAAGTAACATTAAAGATTTAAGTGTTTTGATAGAACAACAACATTGAAATAAAAGATAATCACATGTAAAGTTTTAAACTTCAAACAAACTATAATGTATGGTAAGTACCAGTTAGATCTTTACTTACCATCAATACTTGTAATATTTTAAAGAAATGTTAGTTCTTAAATATTAATGATAAATGTGTAAATTAAATTTATTATTTAACAAATCTTAGTGTATATAAGTTTGATAAGTATTGTATTAAAAAAATTCAACAAGTTTGTGATGTAAATATATTTTCAAAGTGAATAAAAGATTTTGTCAGATTGAGAAAACACTTTATTATTTGTACAAAATATTTCATACAGAAAAATAAAACTTATAAAATTTTTTAGACATAGAATATAAATATATATACACAAAGAAACTTTTATTTAAAAAAAAAAAATCACCAAGATCTTGGGGCAAAAAGACGGCCCACTACAGATCCAGCATATATGGTATCACACAAAGTGGATATTTTGTAAGGGAACACGTGTGTAAAAAAAAAGTAAAGTCCTATTATGACAAGTTTATATAAGGAGATACCAGGCCTATTATAACAAGTGTATATAAGGAGATACCAGGCCTATTACTTTAAAAATATCCCCAAACACGCACTTGCTATAAAATATAATAGTAGTTTG